AGAAATCTTTGATGAACGCATAATTATTGTATACTTTAAATTGGGTTAATTCTAATATTACATATGTATATTGTTGATTAATCATATTAGAATTTGATATTTTGTAAACAACAAATATCAATAAATTCACAAAGTTTGCATAATAAATTCAACCTTACTTCTTTTATCTTATATAAAGCAAAATTATCTCATTTCATCAAAATATATCGCTTTTTTTTTACATTTCGGTGTTTTATTTACTTTATTTCATATTTTGTTAATATTTTGTAGATTTCCATATTAATATAATTTTTTTTTCAAAGTGTAAACAAAAATTTAAAAATAATATATAGTAAATGATAAGATATTTCTAGGATTCTTTACGAGATAATTGATGTGTGATAAAAAAATAAGTTTAAATATATATAATTTAAAATGATTTTAGTTTGAAATGGTTTAGAGTAAGTTTAAATTTAAATTAATTAATAATATAACTGAATTATAAATGAAAATAACTAAAGAAAATTAATTATATTTTTATTATCAATGAGATATTTTTCATTCATTTTTTTTTTTTCATTTCAGGTATTCAGTTGTCCTGCAAATTTAGCATCACATCGCCGTTGGCATAAACCACGCGGAAATGATCCGGTAGCTGCCGCATCATCACAATCTTCTCTTTCCGCTTCCATAAATACCTTCATGTGTGCAACCTGTTCCGTAACATTTGATACTAAAAAAGCTTTCAAATTACATTCCGCACATTGCTCAACCATTCCTTCCAATAATTCTAGTCATACTCAAAATCATTTCTTAAATTTATTACAACATAACACTTCGTCAAATTTAAAATCTAAAACAGAACAGCGAAAAATTTGCATATAATTAAGAAATTAAGATTAAATTGTGCAAATATATTTATTGGTGTAATTGAAATATTATTTAAAATTTAATCGTTTTCTTTTTTTTTGCTTATATCAAAATTTTATTTCAATCTTTCTACCTCATTTGTTTAATTTCATTTTTCTCTTAATCATGTAATTAATTTGGTAATGGAATACTTACTTCATCTTACCATTCCTGATCTATTAACAAATAATTAAGCACATTCATTTCATTACAAATAAATTTCATTTTTTTTTTTTTTTTTTAAAATTATGCAACGACTTTTCACTGCATTGATTAATTCATAAATCGTAAATATTATAATCATTCAGGATAATTATTTCTGTATTAATTCTAGGATATGCTATTATTGAATATTTGTATTTGATCTTTTTATAAATCAAATTTTTTATCAAAGAATAAAAAATCAAATTTTTATCATAAAAAATTTTTAGCAATTATAGTAATCTTTTACCTTTTTTTTTTCAAACTTTTTATTTTTTAATTTATTTTGTTTTTCTTTTTTTCTTTCTCATGTTTGCTTATTTTAAGATTTTTAACTATTAATCATAATTAAAATATTACATTTTTTGAGCAATAAATATCGATGTAAAGTTATACATATAGTATGCTAATGAATGCTGAGTATTTCTTAGTCAATTGTACATATATATCAATTATTATCAATTAATCATTAATGAAGTACTATTGAACTGTAATATTTCTAATTACTATTATGTACAACTATTTGATCTTTGATCATACTAATATTAGCTATTAATTTAGCTAATATTTTTATTGTCAGTGAGAAAAAAGAGGAAAGAATTATAATATTGGTAATAGTTGTAATAGTAGTAATAAGGAATGAAGATAACACCTGCTCTCACTTTTTTTTTTTTTTTGCATTTTTCTTCAATGTAATTTTATAATGACCTCTTGTGACCAAAGCTATAATCATCGTTTCGTTTTTTTGCATACAATAATTTGAATAACCTTAATTTACCGCAGTTGATTGTGATGGAGAAAGAGAGAGAAAGAAGGAGAGAGAGAGAGAGGGAGAGAGAGAGAAAAGAAAAATTATTTGCAATTTAGAAAAAGTATTTGAGGAAAAAGTGCAAATATTATTGAATATTTTAAATTTAGTGAAATAAAATAAAAAGAAAAAAATTGTTGAAATCTTCCTAAAATTTCATTTTCCTTTCTTTCTTTTTTTTTTCTCTCAAGTTTATAAATGTAAAAAAAAAATAATTTGATTAAAATTTTTAAATTTTACTATATTCAATGTTATATTACAAAGAAGTTATTAAATTAACCATTGTTAAATTTATCAAAGATAAAAAGAAAGAAAGGATAAAATTACTAGAATTGAATTTTGTATTGAAATTATTCAAAGTTGCAAAATTGTTATTATTATTCATGTTACAATATATGATAGTGAATTGTATTGCTTCTGTTGAATAAATCACTCTTTTATATATCTTTTCTCTCTTTTTTAATTAATAATTAGGAAATCAGTAATAAATTTCAAAAATAAAACCAAATTACAAAATATAATTTTAAATGAAGCAAAAAAGTAGTTTAAGTATTTGTTATAAGTTAAAATAAAAAGATTATTAGTTAATTAATTATATGATAACAGTGTGAAGGTTTCTACAGAAATAATATTAAATCGTTACACTTGTCGTAATCTTTGGCTAGTCAAAACTGACTAATTAATTAAAGAATTACTTTAAATTACTACTTCAATATTCTTTTTATCTTAATTTTATAATAATATATGAAAGTTTTATCTTTGTCGTATAATATCTTTCAGATAATCACCAAACTAACTGATATCACTCAAATATGTTAACTTAACTGATATCTCTCTCAAATGGACAATTAACTGTATTAATTGCTTATTTAAATAATTCAACTTCCCTTCTTTTTCTTCAGACTCTCGTACCGTTATCTGGTGTGAAAATAAATTGAATGAATGATTGAATGAATGAACGAATGGATGAATGAATGAATGAATGAATGAATGAATGAATGAATGAATGAATGAATGATTGAATGAATGAATGACTGAATGAATAAATGAATGAATGAATGAATGAATGAACGAATGGATGAATGAATGAATGTTAAACATATCTAACTAGCCTTGACATCATCACTAGAACTACTACATTTAGATGGTAGTCAAATTAGACGTAATTACAGAATTCATCACCAAATACTTTCCAAGAAGTCAACAACACAACAGTATTATTAATGATGATGAAAATGGATAAATAAAAGAGGATAAGAGAGAGAAGGAGAGAGAGAGAGGGAGAGAGAAAGAGCAAAGAAGAAGAGAACTTTTTACTGTAAACTTTTGTGATGAGTATGAAATAAAATTATATTTCAAAAATAATAAATAGATACTGTTATTTAAATTGATGTTTATGCTATAAGTAAGTTTTCCATTTTTTGTTTTTTTTTTTCTTCCTCTTTAGATTTTATGAAATTTTTTAAAAATAAACTCTAAAACTACAGAAAATAAAATTTTTTTTTTTGATAGTTTAACTTTTCTTATATATGATGAATGAAATGAAAAATTAATTTTTGTTAAATTTTGAATAAAGATGACAATCATGTAATATTATTGAAATGAGCAGATGGCATGAAGTAAAGAGAGCAGAATGATATCTGAGAATATTTATATTTCCATTGAACATCTTTAGTTTTCCTCTTGTAATATTATCCTTATTAATAATTAAATAGTCTCTAACGAGAAGCAATAAGACGAAAATAAAATCATTTATCATTTTCAAGATTGTTTCAAATTATCTTCATTTCACTTAGAATTAATATAATTTATTCATTTAATACCATTTTATTTTTAACGATTATTATTATTAGATAGAAAAGAAAAATAATTAATAAAATTTAAATGAATTATTGAACATAGAATAAACATAAAAAATTATATAATAATAACCATTATTATCACTAAGTGAAATGGTATTAAATGAATGATTAAGAAAATTCCGATTTTAAAGTAATTTAAATTTATTTATATAAATTACTTTCGAAATTATTTAACAAAACTATGGTACATTATACAGTGCTTGTATTAAAATGTATTTAATTTTATTCCATAAAAAAATGAATGATTTAAATAAAATTCAAATGGTTTTGCAAAAAATAAAAAGATTTCAATGCCAAAAAGGAGAAAAAAATGTGAAAAATTCGATTGAATTTTTTTTTTTTTGAATTTTTTTTCGTAAACCAATAAATCTACTAAAAATAGTAAAATTCTTTCTGTCATTTAACATTTCAACTAATAATCAATCAAATTATAAAAAATTCTCATTGCTAAAGTTTTTGCTAATGCTTAAAGAAAGTAACACTTAGCAGTAATAAAAATGAAAATTTTAATAAATTAGCAATTTATTTCCTTCTCTCTCTCTCTCACATTTCATAAAAATTTCTAAAAAGTTTTTCTGTCATCAAAAAGATTGGACGAATGCATAATAAATTGCATTCTCGAATAGAATTTATTTCAATTTATGCTATGAAGCATATCTTTTTAGTGGAAAATTAGACATTTTTGAATGAATTATAATATTTTATTTAATAAAAGTATCATTTAAAGATAAAAAGTATTTCAAACCAAAGAAAAAAACTATAATTACTGAGCTAACAAATAATTAAGAATTAAGTAAAATTTATCAAGAAAATAATTGTTGAAGAGATGTCATCGAAAAACTTTAGGATCCAATTTTCTGAATGTCATGAAAGGTTTAATTCATTTATTAAAAATCAAGAACCATTTAAAATCATAAAGGAAAAATAAGAATGCGATATGAGTAAAGTATAATGAAGTAAGTTTACAAAAAATGGATTCAGGTATTTGAATACAATAATATTTTCCAATTACAATTTTTAGAAATTCTTAACTTTGCAATTTTTCAAATTTTTATACTTTCTCAAACAAATGTGTAATAATATTGAAGCAGTTAAAAAAGAAAGAAAAAAAAAACGAATTATACAGATAAATGCATATTTTAAAGTTCATTAATAGTACTTTATTATTGTCATTGATTGTAATACAGCAAAATGGTAAGATTTAAGATGACCGGAAAGAGAGAGAGAGAGAAAGCACTTCTTTATTGCTTTCGGCAAAACACAAACCGACATTGAATTTCATTAATTTCAGTTGGTTGTGCTGCTTTCTCATCGTAATCCACCCATTCCTTAATTCAAAATTATAACAATAGGATTTGAACTTCATTATTCCAATGCATTCAACAATTAAAACAATAATAATAACAGTAATATGAATGATTTTAAAAGATTTTCTCAAATTATAATCATTAATTGTTGCAATACATCAATTGATGTTTCATGATGACAACAATCAAATTATTCTATTTAATCTAATTCTTTCTTATTTAATCAAACCATTTATAATCTTAATTGAAATTATTTTATTTGCACATCAAAATTATGTAAATTAAAAGAACAAAGTAAAAATCTTTTCAGGAAATAAAAACAGAATAAAATGGCCCAGCAGAAAATGAAACATCCTGTGATATCATTATAAAATATTACTTTCGCCTCTCCAAAAAAAAAAAAAAAAAAATGAAACAATATAAATATGTTTAATTGTTGTACATGTATCAATGATAAGTTAAGATTTACTTTCATAAAATTCGCCTTAAAAGAGTAAGTGAAAACCTTTTCAGTAAGATCAATATTTTCGAAAACAGTTGCTGATTCAATTCCAATAGCTTGCCATCCCGACTAAAATTATGACTTATATTATAGAAACAACATTACATAAATAAATATCAGTATAAACAAGCAATACAATAAACTATTAACAAATCAATTTTAAAGACTAAGCATTACGTATATCTTAGTAATACTATTTAACTCTATAATATTAAAAAATATTTATTAATTTAAATATTCATTTATCCTGTTATTTAACTTATTATTACTTATTATCTTATTATTTAACGCTTAAGTACGAATTTTAAAATAAGAAAAAAGAACAAAAACAAGAAAAACAAACTCGTGGATCAAAATCAGTTGGTTCCAAGCCACGACAATCAAATTTAATCAATTCACTGTAATCATCACTGCTTGTATACGGTTGAAATGAATCTTTGATAATTTCTGTAGAAATACTACCATTATATATCAAAAGGAATAAACTCAAATTTTAATTCATTTTCATTGCATCATATAATTAGCATATATTAATGCTAAAAAAAAAAATTTCTTTTTTAAAAATTAAAATAGAAAATTTTGAAAGCAACTACACAGTGTAATTTCAAATATAACTTCTGATAAATCCTATAAAATTATCACAAGAAATTACTTACCGAGCGAATTTATCCTGCTACATAATTTACACTTTCCTAATATATTTGCAACTCCTCTGCTTCCAGGCATATTAAACTTTTCCTGAAAAAATTTCTTCAATTTGAATAAAAAAAATATATATTCATATTTTTTTTTAATTTTTTTTTCAACTTCTATCATTTCATTAAACCATAAGCTGATCATTTCGCATTTCATAATTACAATCATAATTTTAAGACAACAACAAACAACTTACCTCTTCAACAACATATTGCCAATGTGCCGGTTCCTCACCACAATTCGTACATTTTAACTGTAATATTTATAATTATCGCTGATAAAACTTGAATCTCTACTAAAATATATGATAAAATCTTTATGATGAAAATATGACTCATGATATGTGATAAATGGCATGTGATAAAAAATGATATATGACAAAAATACATGATGATAAGGATTTCTACAATCTAATTCTGCTAAAATTTCAGCATTAAAAAGATCAAAAGATGATGTAATATTAGCAGTAGTATTATTTTTAGCAGAAAGCTAGAGTTAATATTAGACCTAATATTACTTAGAATTATGAATCACTCAAATTCATCGGTAATTGATAACCATCTTACATTATGATTTGTGGAATAGTCACGATGGTAGGTCAGTCACTACATATTTTTTACCATAAAATTTCATATCTATAATTTGTGTTTTTTTTTTCTCTCTCTCTCTCTCTCATCAGTAATGACAACCACCTTGCAAAATCTTTTTTTTTTCCTCTCTCTTTGAAATATTAAATGGAAAAATGTCATGAAACCTTTAAATGCCATCGAAATTTGCTCCAATCACCCATTGGTTGCAATGAAGTTACATTCACCATATTGGCTTTTAGTTGTAACGCAATAATAGGCTAAAAATAAATTTGAATTTTCATAGAAAAATTTATTTTTTCATAAATTGCCAAAGAAATAAAAAGCTTAGAAAATGAAATGTAAAGCCTAAAATTTAAATGAAAATAGAAACTTACCATAGCATTAACAAACTAACAAAGTGATTGTCCTAAAAAGATATGTTTAAAGTATGAAAAATAAATAAAAATAAAACGTAAACCAATGAATACTATACAACTAAACAATTTAAAAAATTTCAATCAATTCATATTTAGCAATAAATTATATTCTTTTTAAAGATATAATCAAATGAAGAATTAAAAGAATAATTTAAATCAGACAGCAATGACTTTTCAAATTTTTTTTTTTTGAAGATTAGAGATAATAACTTGGCTTTTTTTTTTATTTCTTTAAAGAGTATTAAACTAATTTATAGTTAGCTATTAATTAAGAATTACTACTACTGGTAGTGTAAAAAGCAAAGAAAATATGCGAAATATTTTATGAAACATGAACAATAACAAATAAACAAACAAACAAAATAAATTTAACATTTCCTATGTTCGATGTAAGATTAATTTTGCGCATACCTTTTCACCACAATTACAGGTAACCGTTTGCAACAGATTTTCATTTGTATTCAGAATTTTGAACATAGAAAGGACATGTCATAAACACTGAGAGTCAGCAATATTTGTTGGTTTGACAAAAAAAATAAATAGAGCTAAACACTTGTTAAATTTCGAATTTCAAATTTGTCACCTGTTAAATTTTGAATTTCAATTAGAATTTAGAAACTTGTAACTAAGTAATCAATTAAATTAGAATGTAAATAAGTGCAACTTGAACAATCTTCGGAGATCTTTCATATTATGTAATAAACAAAAACCTTAACATAATATGATTTTAAAATTTAATTAAGGACAAAAATGTTCTAAAAGATATACGATGATTTGCAAGATATCACAGTAAAGTAATCATCGAAAGTAAATAATGAAGTTTTTTTTTTTTATTCTCTTAATTTTTCTACAATTTTTTTAAGCAATTTGAAGAAAAATTTTTGTTTAAAAAAATATCTCGCTGAAAGTATGCTCCAATCTTTTCTTAAAATCTTCAGTTTTAAACCGTAATTAATTAACTATAAATCTTTCTAAAAGTTCTGAATGTTTTCATAAATTTATTAATAATATCAAATTTTTGAAAACGAAAAATTAGCTCTAAATTTGCTGAATTCATTATCATCCATAATAACATTACATAGCAAATAATTATTGTCTTCCGATGGAATCGGTTGACCAACAAGAAAGGAATATTTACATAAGTATGAAAATGCTTCTGAATGTGGACGTAATTTCAATCGACGAATTGTTACACCACTGATTGCTAGCACTCTCTGCAAAATTTCAAATTATAAATTTGAATTTGGAAAATGAAAAGTTCGGTTAGTTTTGCATCAAATTTCTAGTAAATATTAAAAATGAATGAATTAAAACAAACCGAATAAATCAAAATTTGAGGGAGAGAGAAAGAGAAAAAAGAGCTGTAGGTATTTGATGGAATACCAAGAAAATTATAGAAGCCATAAGAAATGCTTAAGATTATTTGGGTATAAGAAATATAGAATAAAACTTATTCAATGTAAAAAAAAAATGAATACCTTATCGATAGCAGCTAACAACTCAACAAATCCACGGCCATCAGCACAAGAGACAAAATATGTGTTAGATTCATTAGGAGGTAATCGACACAACTTATCAATTTTATTTCCAACCCGAATCACTGATTTTAATAATTCATTTCGAATTTTTAGTGCTGATAATGTTTTCATGACAACATTACGTTGTGTAAGATAATCAGGATTTGAAACATCTTCTACATGCAACAATAAATCCTAAAAAAAATTTTCAAAATGTCAAAATAAATTAATTGAGTTAAAAAAAAATAGATACTAAAACTTCAATGCATATTACTTACATATATATGTATCGTTTCCTTTTTTTGAAAAGATTGAGATGAATTCATTTAAAACTAACTGCATTTGCAACATGATTTAGCGTAGCTTGAAAAGATGCAAGTAACTGGGTAGGTAGATTCGATATGAATCCAATTGTATCGGCAAAAAGTATTGGTAAACCGGATGGTAACCGAAAAACATGAAGTGATGTATCCAGCGTAGCGAATAAACGATCTTCAACATATAAATTTCGTCCTGTTAATCTGCAAACTGACAAAAATGAAATATAATTAAAGAAATCGGAATGAAACAAGAAGTGTTCACAAAATTTTAAGATGCTATTTTTAAGAAAATAATGCTCCATTCAACCATCATCAATTTAACTGTTTCTTTTTTCTTTTTTTTTTTTTTTTTTTTTCACCAGGAACAAAAAAAAATTAGAAGTAACCTTTTAATTAGTGAACTTTTACCAGCATTTGTATATCCAACTACAGCAACCACTGTTCGTATGTTTTTCTGAGCTTCGCCAATTCGCAAATTAACTTTCTCTTCTACTGCAGCTTTTAAACATTTTCGTAAATGTTGCTCACGATATCGTAAAACTTCTAGTCTTTCGGCTCTAAAAATTCATCTGCTCAAAGTTATCCTCCCAGATATTGAAAATGTTCATATTCAGTTTCTGTTTGAATAAGACTACTACGCCGTCAAATTAATATCTAATAGATCACATCAACATTATAATCAAATCAATATCTAATAAATCACTGTGATTAAGGAAAATTTTTTCTATGACATATCAATCATCCTAATTATTTAAAGAAAGAAAACTGAATTTTTAATTCAATAAAATTAAATCCAACGAGCAAACTTTGATTTCTCGGATGTATCGAGATGAAGAAGAGATGGATCCACATGCAATTCATACATAGATAATAATCGCTGCCTGTAGAAGAAAAAAGAAATATGTTTCAAAATTTCTTACAAGTAAAATTTGATATAATCTAGAATATTATAAATGCAAAAAAAAAATAACCTTATGTAAGGAATTTCAGCAAGTTGAATTTGCAATTTAGCTTCCTTTGTTTTTGCAAATATTTTAAAAATGAGCAATACTATATTGTAACGATCATATATTGGAGTACGAAAAATTGATGTCAATTCAGCCTAAATAAGATCTCATTGAATTTCATTTGAATTTTTAAAAATATCAAATTTTAATTATTTCAAACTGAAAAACTTAAAGGCTTAAAGTAAATGCTGATAGGATGAATCATAAACAAAATGACTGAACTTTGTGTAAAGTTATACTTCCAGATAAATCAGAAAAATAAGTGATGTCCCTACTTAACAATTCGAATATTGAAAAAGAAAAATAAAAAAAAAAACCTGTTGCTTCGGTGATAAAATATCAACATCAATCATTAGTGCTGTAGCAGAGATTTTTTCTTTGAGAGCAATTATTCGTTGAATACGTCCACTACCCCAAAGACGTTTCTTTTTAGTAGAGCGATCGGTGCTTACCGCAGTTGTTCTGCAACAAAACAAATTCAAAATAAATTTAAATCAGATCGTCCAATTTACTCAGTTAATAAATTCTCTTAATTAAAAACTCACATAAGATTCTTGTTATTACATGAAAATGTTAAGTGATTTTAAAAATACTACCAGAATAAAGCAACACATACTTCCGTCAATCTAAAATTTTTTTATTTTCATTTTTTTTTTTATCATTTGGACTATCGTGACAATTCCATTAAAAGGAAATTAAATGACCGTTTTAAGGTGCATACTCAACAATGTTAAACCTGAGAAATATTTTGTCCAATCAATAAATTAGAAAACTACGTAAAAAAAAAAGAAAAATATATTTAAACTTACTGAACACATTTATTTCTAAAAGGAATCGTTTAAAGTTTACTATTAAAAAAACAAAACTATCGGAATGAAAACATACTCCATAACTTTGAAATTGGGCAAAGTATTGACCAATGCAACTGCTTCTTCCAATTGTAGCTTAGCTCTCTCTGGATTTAAATCAAAGAAACGTCCTCGACGTAATCGTGGATGAATGAGTAAAATACGTTGTACCCCGGGTGCTATACTTTGTATGCCATATGATTTTGAAATAATGTTGAATTCATCAGTCATTTGCATGGCTCCTTCCGGTATTATCGTACAAAAATGACGTCCGGAATACAATGGAACAAAAATTTTTGCAAAATTTCTGAAAAAGAAAACTTGAAAATTGTTCAAATCATTAACTCAAAAAAACATTATTCACAAATTCAACTATTCATCCGATGCATAGCATATTCTATTGAATATTATAAATGAAGAAAATAATAGTAATAAAAAAAATAGACTCTGACTGACAATCTTTGGTAAAGACCAATTTTAGCAACTAATTTCCATTCATAGTAATATCTTTCTTCTAGTTTACTTAAGCTTTCGGTGATATATATTAATTCCACTTCTTATATCAAAATGATCATCTTATATCGCGCTATGATATCTTATAAATGAATTACTTAAAGTAATTATAATAAACATACCTTGAAAATGTCATATTTTGAAGTAATTTCATGAACCATCAGTGATTATTTTCGATAGAAATTATTGCAACAATTGTTATCAGTCTTGATGAGAAGTATAAATGATAACTTCATTAATAATATCAGCATAACCTCAACAATTTCCTTATAGCAACGATGAAAAATAAAGTTAATACCCACTCAACCTCACCTATGATTTTTTATTTACCTCCATAGAAAATTCCATGTATTATTTTTTGATATTACTTCTTGAATTTCAGAAAAGTATACTGATAAAAACAATCGAATAATTTTGAAATTTTGCTTTTTTTACGAAAACAAAAAACAAAAAAAAAAGGAATGAATTGGCAAACATTTTTATTCTTATAAAACACATTTAAACATTTATTAATAAATTATGCAAATAAATTGACAGTGCATGCGAAGAAGAACAAAGAAGAATACCCATTTTCCGATAGAATATCACAATTTTTTGAAGCAAAGAAAACCACAGTTGGAATAAATACAAAGAAATATTTGAAACGAAATTGTTAAAACAGCAAAAAGCAAAAATAACTAAATACGAATAATAATTTGTATTCCATATATTAGGAAAACAATATTCAGGCGAATAATTTTCAAAAAATAATATTTTCACTAGCAATATTTGACAAAGGCAGCGCTGGAAATATAGTGATTTACGATCTTCCAGAAGAAAAGGAAAAAAAAAAAGTCGAAAAATAACTACTTTCTATATTTTTTACATGAATTACCAGCTATAAGACATCAGCTAATATAGATAAAGTATAAAATATATTGCAGAAAAAAAAATTGATTTTCGGATAAGGAACTAAATACCACAAATTATAATGTAATCAGTCCTATGCATTCATTTAAAATGAATGAAACTTATCTTAAACTAAAAATTTTTTAAAATGAATGAAACTTATCTTAAACTAAAAATCAGCAAAACGGGCAGTCGACGTAAATCACAATGTCATTTAATGCTAATGCTAGCAAAATTGAGCATGATATCAAGTCAATAATACTGTCTTCATCTATTCCAGAGTAAGGAATAAAGATGAGATAAAAGGTGAATAAATAAAAAAATGAGTTGATCAATTTTAAATTGAAACTTTTTTTTTGATAATCGAGCAGAAAATATCTATTAAAGCAAGTAAAAAAAAAATGGACAATAAATTTAACAAATCAATTTAAAAAAGTGCCGAAATTTCTGCATTTTTATGTCAACGCAGGTTCTGATCCAGAAGTAGGAGTTGTAGAAAATAATGTAGAGGAGGAAGAAGCTTTATCCAAACCATGTAAACTTTGCAAAACAGCATCGATAGCTGCCATATCTAGACGAGGTTTTTTAACTTGAACATTTGGAGAGCTGATACCGGATGATTCACTATAATATAAAGATTTCGATTCACCGGAACCAGATAAAGGAGAACAAACAGCCGTTGTAGATTTTGATGATACTGAAATTTTCGATGAAGCAGCTATCAGTGTATCAGCTTCCAAACAACTGCTAATATTTTTTGCTGAAACACTGCGACCTAATGAATCATTATGTGGTGACAAATCAGGTTTTAGCAATTGTGACAGGAGATCCGGCGTTTTTGGAATTGGCAAATCCAGAATTCTCTTACGAGTGCTATGCTCCTAGAATAAAACAAAAAAGTTGCAAAGTCAGATTCACATGAAACATATTATACAAAGATTAGCAAATGAAAAGTTTAAAAACTTTGCTTTTTACATGGCAGCAATCATCTTTTAAACATGTAATATTTAATAATGGAAGTTTATGGTAAAAACTTATTTAGATCTATAGCTAACATAATAGCAATTTTTTTCATTGGGATATGAGAAGTACTTCTGGATTTCTTATAAATAAAAATTTCACTTTCTTAAAAGAGAAATGAGATCAAAATTGTTACATACAGATGAATAAGTATTCTAAGACAAATGAAAAATATAGATTTTGATTGTTTGCTTTATATACAGTATGGTGTAGAGTAAAAAAACTTGCCAAAGTTGAAGCAGATACACGTCGGATACTTTCCACCTTGCGATATTCCTGTTTTAATTTTTCTTCATGTTCATATTTTGTTCGTATACGTGTTGCTTTTTCTAATACCATACCAACTAAAGGAAAGAATTTGATAAATTATCAACAATAAAAAGATAAAGCTATTCTTGCTCTTATTAGTTTATTAGCTATATTCTTACTCCTATTAGATTGTAAATATTGAAATTAGTGAATGATTTAATGTAACATATTTTCCACATTTTCTACTGATCTTTAATAAAAAAAAATCGTCCAATTTATCAAAAGAAAGCTCTTACCTTAATAATTTTGACAACAAACAAAAATTTCAGCAATATAATTAACAAAAAACATAAAAAAATTAATAAATAAATGAAAAATACAACTAGGAAATCTAACCTCTTGCTGAATGTCCACCACCAACCAGCAAATTTTCTCTTCCTTTGTTAACTCCCGACATTACCTTTTTGTGCAGTTTACTTTCCAACACATCTGTTTCGTCTTTTCTCGATGTACCTAAAAATACAATTTTTTGTATAAATACTATCTTTAGAAAAAATACATGGAAAAAGTTGAGCATTTTACGAAATAGTTAAACTACAGGTAATGTCTGTAATGCAAAAAACAAACCGCATAATTTTTTTTTTTTGTGGACAGTGTGAATTTTAAGCAAAAGAATTGAAGAAGTAAATGAATGAATCACCTGGTTTTGCAGCAAGGCAATTAAAAAGATCGTCCAATGTATCCGGTCGGTTTGAACCACTTTCCTAGAAGAAAAAGAATAAAAAATGTAACAAATAAGGAAGTAATTAATCAGAAAAGAATTAACAGAATGCGATTTAAACAATTTGAACTCCTATTAGTTCTCATTAATCAATGTTAGAAAACTTTGATTTCATAAGACCTTCTGGCTTATTTGACAAAAGTTCAGAAAGTAATTTCAAACTACCATCGCCCATAAACGATGACAGTTCCCGGTTTAAAGATATATTATTTACCCAATTATTAAACAATTTTAAGTAATAAGACAACTTAATTCGTAGTGTCATACTATATATATATATATATATAATACCTTTGTATTTTTTGTTGCCTTAAGATCGGTACAACGCTCTGATTTTTCCCTCTTCATACGATAATCCTCCATTGTGAATTTCATTTTCCCAGCAATTTTCTGAGTAGAAGACGATCTAAAACACTCAGTTAATTGAAATTTCAACGCATACTGAACATCTATTAAATTTTAACTCAAAATTATCATTTTGTTGTTAAAAATTGAAGGAAAAACGCTACCTCGTACGGCTTTCTTCACACTTTCTTTTCATCTCTTCCTTATCTGAAATCTTCGTCATTACCTTCAAGCTATCATCATCACCAAATAGTTTATCTAAAATGCTTGCTTCATTTACTTCATCATTCTTTGAGTCGAACTGCAGAATACTTCTTAGCTCTTTTTTTGATTTTCTATCTTTAGATCTTTCTTGTTGCCTTTTTGAATTGCAACTATTGCTCAATTTATCATCCTTTCCTTTCATCTTCTTCAATTTCTCACGATCCTCACGTTCTTTGCGTCGCTTTTCACGCTGTTCTTTCTCACGTACTTCACGTTCCTCTTCTTCCCTTCTTTTTCGCTCTCTTTCAGCTGCTCTTTTTAGCTCCTTTTCTTCCACTTCACGTTTTTGTCTTTCAATTTCCTCTCTTTCCTTTTTCATTAAAAATTCCTTCTCTTTTTTTCTCTTTTCTGCACTTGCTCGTGCTTCCTCTCGATCTTCCTCGAGTTTTCTAAATTTTTCTTGCTTCTTGCACTGCTCCGATAATTTACATAAAGAATTACTTCCAGCAAGAGTACTGTCACTTTGTCGATCATTATCTTTTACTGATGAACTAACATGCATCTCTTCCAATTGTCTTTTCTTATCAGGAGAAATTTTAGAATCACTAGTAAAGTCATTACCAACCAACTTCTGTTTCTGATGCTTTCTTTTTTTCTTGTCTGTAATAAACTTTACTGAAGTGTGACGCTCACGATAACCAACAGTTAAACCTTCATCTCCTGAAATTTCATTCCTATCTTCTAATCCTTTTCTATTTTCTCTTGATGATGTAGCATGAGTAGAATCCAAAAATTTCCATTCATCAACCTTTTGCGTACGCAAATTTCTGCAATCTTGATCATCTGAATTCTCGAATAGCAGATCGATTTCTCGCTCGATAAGTGATTTCGAAGTGAATTTTGTATTCTGTACAGTTCCTTTATCTTCCACACACTTGTCCATCTGATGACTGGTAACGGCATTACTACTAGTGGATAAGGGAATATTAATTTCATTTCGAACTTTCGCCCTCAATTCTAATTCAGCAGAAGATGACAATGGATGTTTAGTTTCTTTATCTTTCAGCTTTTGATTTGTTGATTGGCAAATTTCTAAACTGTCCCTTTTTAGCGCTTCCTTCCGCTCTTCGTTTTCTACGGCTTTTTTATTTGATTCATCACACAATTCGGCAAGTTTTCTCCAGCCTGCAGATATTTCTAACTTGCCCGTTTTCGTTTTTCCAAAAGAATCGTCACTAGATTTTGTCATATTTCTTGAAGATATGAAAAAACCTCGCCCAACACTATCAACTTCTCTTTCGGTTTCCTCAATCGGTAGATAAGGACATTCTACTTCGACCCGATCTCTGAATATCGCACTTTCAGCAATCACCTACAACTTTGCATAAAAAGAACATCTGCTGGCATAGAATGTGAATGATGTTACTTAGAAAAGACGTAATCAACCGTATAAAAAATCTGCATAAAAAAAAGCGATATAATAAAACTCCGTGTGTGTTGAACTTCGGTCTTCCGCATCAAAAAATATGTTGAATTCTAAATTTACACTTTAAAAGATGGAGTTGAGTGATTATTTTGCTTTAAAAAATATGCAAAACATTTTTACCGGTTTCTTTCGCATAGCTTTCGGTTGCAGTTGCAGACGACGGAATTCAGTTTTCACAGTT